ATACGCCCACATTTTCATGTGGACATATTTGTCGTCAGTCCATCCATCCACAATTGTTTGTGAACACTCTACAGGTCACAATTTTTATCCAATTTCAAAGAAACTTGAAATATAGGTATAGGATCTCGGTTCCTTTTGATAGTGGCATGTATCAGACTGTACCTTCATGGATTATGGCCCTTGATTGTACGAAAAATCACGTTTAGTTTAAACTTGAAATGTATGTTTATAACCCACAGATCTCGGTTGCTTTCAATATTAGCGCATATCGCACCATAACTACCTGAATTATGGCCCCCGATTGTACGGAAAATCGTATTTTGAGCTTTCGGACCCCATAGAGGTCACAATTTTTATCCGATTTAAAAAAACGTTACAATATATCACCGTTACACCCTAAGGATGGTTGAGTTCGAATTTCGTAAAAATTGGACTGAAGCTGACAAACAAAATGGCCGCCCCTCGTTCGCAAATAGTGTCAAAATAGTGTGTATCAGGGTTGTGGACCCACTGGAGGTCGCAATTTTCATCTGATTTTGATGAAACTTGAAATGCATGTTTGTAACCCATAGATCTCAGTTCCTTTTGATATTCGCGCATATTGGACCATAACTTCCTGAATTATGGACCCTGATTGTACGAAAAATCACGTTTTTAGCTTGTGGACCCCATATAGGTCAAGGTCACAATTTTTATCCGATTTAAAAAAAAGTTTGAAAATGTCACCGTTACAGCCTAAGGATGGTTGAGTCCAAATTTCGTAAAAATCATATCGAAACTGACAGACAAAATGACTGCCCCTCGTTCGCAAATAGTGTCACAATAATGTGTATCAGGGTTGTGGACCCTCTGGAGGTCACAATTTTCATCTGATTTTGATGAAACTTGAAATGCATGTTTATAACCCAAATATCTTGGTTCCTTTCGATTGTACGAAAAATCATGTTTTTAGCTTGTGGTCCCTCTAAAGGTCACAATTATTATACAATTTAAAAAAAACGTTCGAATATATCACCATTACACCTTAATTTTGTCTGAGGTTGAGTTTCATGAAAATCGGACAAAAATTGCCAGACAAAATGGCCACTCCTCGTACGCAAATATTGTAAACATCTGGTAAATCAAGGTTGTGGACCCACTAGAGGTCACAACTTTGATCCGATTTTGATGAAAGTTGAAATACATGTTTATAACCCAAAGATCTTGGTTCCTTTAGATATTCGCGCGTGTCGGATTGTATCTTCCTGAATTATGGCCCTTGAATGTACAAAAAATCACCTTTTTAGCTTGCGGTCCATGTAGAGGTCACAATTTTTATCCGATTTAAAAAAAACTTGTGAATATATCACCATTACACACTAAGATCTTGGACACTTGGTTCCTTTTGATAATCACGTATATCCGAATGTAACTTCCTGGATTATGTCTCCTGATTGTTTTAAAAAATTGCACTTTTAGCATGCAGATTCTCTAGAGGTCACAAATTTTTTTTCCGGTTTTAAAAACCGTTTAAATATATTACCATTCCACCATAATGAATGTTAAATTCGAATTTCGCGAAAATCAAAATGAAACTGCCCAACAAAATGGCTGCACTTTGTACGAAAATTGTGTAAAAATATGCTACGAAGGTTTTGGACCCTCTAGAGGTCACAATTTTTATCCTATTTTGATGAAACTTAAAACATATCTTTATATCCCAAAGATCTCAGTCCCTTTTGATATTTGCGCATTTCAGACCATAACTTTCTGGATTATTGCCCCTGATTGTACAAAAAATCACGTTTGTTTTTAGCTTGTTCTCTATCCATCTCTTGCAAAATGTGGGCGTATCCTGCCTGGCAGCCGCTGGTCTTTACTCACACACCAAATAAATAAAACACACAATAATGACAACTAATACTAGTAAACCCAAAATAAGGAGGATAGAATCCCTTTTGTTTGCTACGACTACTGTTAGTACAGAATCTACTTCCGAGAGTGAGAGTGTCATCTCTGACTAGGACTGTGTCGATATATATTATCGATACACCGATACGTTCCAGCGATATTTATCTATAGGTAATTTTGTCGTATCGTTGAAAAATTCTTCAGTTTAAAAAAGATAATGAAACCCACGTGGCGAAAGAAGACGACCTAGGCATGGTTTGCCAATCGAGCGTCTTCCACACTGCGTATGAATTCCAGGTACCGGTAGATATTAAAATTAAAATAATAACTGAATCAAACATTGATGGATTCACTGACCAGTTGTTAGGTAAATTTAAATCTTCATTTAAATCTTGATAGAACACTAAATACACCGCGAAACAGTCATTTAATAATATATTTTCCTGATAGAATCTCCAATGACAATTTCCAATGACACGTGACATATCGGATGGAATTAGGTCAATAAACCAGTTCTAAATAGCGCTTACCGTTATGATTTTTTTTTATAGACACATTCTGACAAAGGCTTAATTTTAAAAATATTGTCGTTTTTATTGAAGGCTATATCATAATCGTACGGAATTTCTATTTTAAAGCAATTTCAAGTATGGTTGTTGAACGTGACAATTGTGCTGCATCATTGACGAATGAATAAAAACTTTTGCAAGTTACATGATAAGACAAAAATCTACAAATTGTGTTATGAAGAAATGCCATGGTGTCGTATCAGGTTATTTTGGCTACGGTATTTTCTGATACTAACAGTAGTAGAATTATGTTAATATTTTAGATCATCGACTTGTGAAACGCGAACGTTTCATCGAATAAACGAAGACAGTAATTTATTCTGAAATATTACTGACGTAACTTCAAGATGGTATGTGAATTAAATATACCTGTCGTTATTTTTGTGGTTATCACTTACATACATTAAAATACGACATTCTCCATAGCAAATTACCAAGTCTAGTTTTAAAGGGAATGGACACTTATAATTAACCCATTTCCTACGGGACCTCGATCAATTGACCCAATTCTGGCCGGTTCTTTTCAAAATGGATTAAGAACCCTGATGCTTACCCATCTCAAACAAACGTCTTGAAACAGAATGTAGTTTGGGGTTATTTTGGGCATAATTCGTGATGTCATCGCGATACGTATTGCGTATCGGTTTGCCCTATCGTATCGAAAATGAACTGTATCGACACAGCCCTCTGACACAAGTCCTTCGTTGGCTTCATCAACATGTGGACAAAAATTAGACCTTAACAGAGACCGAGCTAACCCTCAGTGACCTCATGCTTATAAAAATGGATGGACCAGAAAGCATAAATTTTGAATTTTCATGGAGCATATGATCAGTGGTGTCTTAAAAAGAATTGTCGTGTCTTTTCTGTTTTGAAGATGAACTAAATCATGTGGCTGTGAAGTAATTTATCCTATAAACATTGTTTTGTTATCTGCATTCATTCTCTCCAAAATGTGAACTTTTGGACAGTCAAGGAGATAAAATAATATTCTTGTGTAAGCTTACTAAATAAGTACATATTTAACATTTATTTTCATTTTTAATTAACAAACATATGAATAAAAATGATATAAAATATTTGGCTAAAACTCATGTTTTCCTTTGGTGTACGTCACTTCCGATTCATGACACCTGTATTACTCATCTATCGTAGCAATGATCTCTGTGTTAAAATTATATTTGGAACATGTTTAACCAGTTCTATCACATATGTGGTAATGACTGACACCAATATTGTCCTTTAAGTCATTTCATTGCTTATATTTTCTGCGGTCTCATGCGCGGCCATCATGAATTGGATACGAATCATCATCAAAGAGACTAGTTTTACTCGAGCAGGTTTCAAGCTGCTACCTGCGAGCGCTGGCGAATGATTTGGTGAAGAAACGGAGAAAGCAGGCTTACCCTGAATGAAAGTAGTTGGCCATTTCATAGAGAATGAGAGATTACAATAGGTAAAATTCCCCAACTTTGACTTATTATTTCGCATTGATTGAAGAGAGGTGACAGAGATTTTATTTTTTATATCGATAGAGTGTTTCTAGCTGTGCATAAAACCATTTCGCTATTTTGATCTACCCCCGCATCATAGAAAATAGAGCTAATTTTCGCAGGTGTATATTTTCGGTTTTAGTCGCCATATGTTACAACTTTGCTGATCATTACTCCCAGAGAATAGATGCGACTTTATGGTCTTCACAGTGGGGCACAGGAAGACCCCCACTAACATCACCAATCACCACCATTTCCATCCAAACCCTAGACTCACTAAAATAGGTGGCTGAAAATTGACCAAAAATGACCAGAATAATGGCAAAATTGGTCAAAAATCACCCAGAGGCTGTATTCAATAACGGTGAAATTTTGAGATCGGCCCTCCTGGCTGTGAAGTAGTCTTGAGGAGTCCATAAAATCCCCCCCGAGATGAACTTGATCTGCCAAGCCCCACCTTCCCACCTTCTGCATGGTTTTCTCGTGGAATGACTCTTAAGAGTTTAGGGTGATCACTGCCTGATTGTATGAAAAATCACGTTTTCAGCTTGTGGACATACTAGAGCCACAATTTTCATCTGATTTTGATGAAACTTGAAATGCAGGTTTATAACCCAAAGATCTTGGTTCCTTTCGATATTAGGGGGGTTGGATGGCCGAATGGTAAGCACGCGCACGCTGTATCATAAAGGCCTGTCATTGAGTCAACTGGCATGGTTTCAAATCCCCTGTTGTACGTGACAAGGATTAGGTTCGCCTGTCCAACCTCGTGGGTTTTCTCCGGGTCCTCCAGCTTCCTCCATATGTTAAACCATATGTTAGTCCCGGAATGACCTAGTTTGTGTCGAGTGGACGTTAAACCCCATTTCTCTCTCTCTCTCCCTTTCGATATTCGTGCACATCAGATCATAACTTCCTCACAATTTTTATCTGATTTAAAAAAAACGTTTTAGTATATCACCGTTACGCTCTAGAGGTCAAAGTTAATATCCGATTGACTTTAAATTTATACAAAGTTTTTAAGGTCATGAGATGAAGAAGCCTATTGATTTTCAACGATTTTCGATAATTACTGCCTGACTTATGGCCCTTGATCACTTCAAAAAATCTTGTGGACGCTCTAGAGGTCAAAGTTAATATCCTATTGACTTTAAATTTATACACAGTGTTTAAGGTCATAGGATGAAGAAGCCTATTGATTTTCAACGATTTTCGATAATTACTGCCAGAGTTATGGCCCTTGATCACTTTGAAAAATCTGGTGGACGCTCTAGAGGCTAAAGTTAATATCCGATTGACTTTAAATTTATACACATTGTTTAAGGTCATGAGACGAAGAAGCCTATTGATTTTCAGCAATTTCCAATAATTACTGCCAGAGTTATGGCCCTTGATCACTTTGATAAATCTTGTTCACGCTCTAGAGGCTAAAGTTAATATCCTATTGACTTTAAATTTATACACAGTGTTTAAGGTCATGAGACGAGGAAGCCCATTGATTTTCAGCGATTTTCCATAATTACTGCCAGAGTTATGGCCCTTGATCACTTTGAAAAATTTTGTGGACGATCTAGAGGCTAAAGTTAATATCCGAATGACTTTAAATTTATACACAGTTTTTGAGGCATGAGATGAAGAATCATATTGATTTTCAACGATTTCGGACAATGAGGTACCGGCAGAATTAAACCGGAAGCTAGGTGGCGCGCAAAGAAAGTAGGACACGGAAGTGTCAGTCTCGTCTGCTCTACGCTTCACTGACAATCATTTTCATTCTCACCGCCCGTTTTGGTTTTCTGTGTGAATTAAATAATGCCAGCTCATTGTTGCGTACCGATGTGTAATGGGAAAGGTGGGCATAAATTTCCGCTGGACCCTGTTGAGAGACGGCGATGGATTCAGGCCGTAAAAAGAGGAGAAAGTGACTGGACACCGTCTAAGTGGAGTATTGTTTGTCGATCGCATTTTGATTCTTCTGACTACATTTCAGAAACCAAAGAAAGTAAGTTGACAAAATACATTTTTATATTTTGACTTTTTTTAGGAATTAGATTGAGAAATATTTTCAATTAGATCTAGTCCAAAGTTTTAAGGATTACAATTTCGGCGTTCGCTGCCAAGAGGAACTAGAAATTTTAGGCCTATCAAAACGTGTCACTATTAATAGTATTAATACTAGGCCTATATTAGTATTTTATGACTAGGCTATACCAGGAGGGCCAAAGGACAGCTGGTGGCAATCTACTCTTACTCTTACTTAGGCCTAAATAGAAAACAGATCTTGTGTATAGCCCTTGGTAAAATACTGTATATTTGCAATACTACAGCAATTAAGGCCTAGGAATGATTCTCATTTAATTAAAATTTAGCCTAAATTTAAGGCCAAATTAGGCATGCCTTGGTAAAACTAAAATGCTGTATATTTACAATACTACAACAAGGCCTAGGAATGATTCTCATTTAATTAAAATTTAGCCTATGGCTATGCCTATATATGAGTAAAAAAAAGTAAAATTTTTTTTGTACTAGACTACTGTTAAATCTACCGGTATTTGATTGTATTTTTAATATTAATTATTCCAGGGGATCAAATGGTCAATAGTATATTGAAGCCAGGAGCGATTCCACATTTATTTGCTTGGAAAAGAACAAGTTTATCAGGTAGTAGGCGCAGAGAAAGAGCCCTACATAAACAACTTCTGAAAATGTAGGAAACGAAGTTGAAATAGAATACATCGAAGAGGACTTTACTCCTATCGAAGGTAGGTTTAATTTACAAAGTTTGGGTGCGATGACTAGTCTACGAGAAAAAAAAATGAAGGGAAATTCTTATGTTTTGTGAATGAAACATAGGATTTGTCTAATAATTACGGTACTTTGCTGAAAGACAGTTTTAAACTTATAGACCCGGTATTGTACAAATTACAATGCAAAGGACTCCTACTAAGTGGTACTACTACAAGCCCATGCCCCGGCCCATACCCCCTAATTTCTGATATTATGCTCGATAATAATTCTAAATTCATTTGGATAATAGCTACCCCCCCCCCCAATGTCTTGAAATTGATGAAGCGACTCCCTACTGCTATTTAATATAAATTATGTCTGGATTCTTGCAGCGAAATATACCCATAATGGTATTAAACATAAACTATTCACTTTACGGATGACCAGGCCCTGACGAGTTGTAAGTAGTAGAACTCTGAAACTGAAAGCGATAATCCAACACCACCTGGCCTGAGTTACCCCATTACACCAAATTTCAGCCTCAGGACAGCCGTAGCGAAGCCACCAACCCTGAACAGACAGACATATATGCAACAGTCACAAATATTAATATAGCTATATACATGTACCCCTAATTGGCCTCCACGTTTAATAAAATATTATTGTTTAATGTTTGAAATTTACAAAAAAAAACTTTTTTCTTTTCTTTCAGTTAAAAGTGAACCTGATACAAAAGACTCTGCTACTCAAGTTGATATGTCAATGCGCTTCTGTGCCCGAAAATACATGTTGAGTTCGGAGAAATTTCTATATTATACTGGACTAGAAAGCTATGATGCTTTTATGTGTTTGTTTTACTCGTTTGGGCCAGTAGTTGATGAACTTAGGTATTTTTATGCGACAAAACCTAAGATGTCAACAGAGGACCAGTTTTTTCTGACTTTGGTTAAACTTAGACTTGGGAGGAGTAATTTAGAGTTGTCTGACACATTTGAAATATGTGAAAAAGAGCTTATGAACATATTTATAACATGGATAAATTTCATGTATTTTCACTTTAAGGAAATTAACTGGTGGCCATCCAAAGACTTGGTAAAGTTTTACAGTCCTGCAGACTTTAAGTCTAAGTTTCCGACAACAAGGATAGTAATTGATGGTACGGAAATACCAATACAAAGGCCAAAACAACCCATTATTCAGCAAGGCACATTTTCCACATATAAAAACAGAAATACGGTTAAGGTCCTTGTAGGTGTTACACCAGGGGGTCTTGTGAGTTATGTGTCCGATGCATTTGGTGGTGCAGCCAGTGATAGGCAGATATGCGAGAGAAGCTGTCTAATGAATTTATGTGAATCTGGTGACTCTGTCATGGCAGATAAGGGGTTTAATGTCCAAGATCTGTTCATACCGTCAAATGTGGAAATTAACATTCCAGAATTTTTTTAAAAAAAGAACAGGATGTCTGGACATTCAGTAGCAAATGATCGAAAAATAGCCAGCAAACGAGTGCACGTTGAACGAATTATCGGACTAGCCAAGACATTTAAAATATTGAAAAAACCTCTAAATAATACAGAATCAAATTTGTCAGATGCAATTATTTCAGTTTGTTTTTATTTATGTAATTTTAGACCAGCCATTGTCCACAATGATGCCTAAGTTGACGTGTATTGATCTTGTAACATTGGATAGAATAAAACATATTAACTCTGATATATTTTTATTTATTAAATAAATATTTATTCAAAATGGCATTCTTAAAATGTGAATCATAGAAACTTGAGAGTCTATTCAACATTTCCATAACAAATTCATGATCATAAAAGATGTCTATGATTTTTATGTCTGTCAAAGTAAAAACAATAAACTTGCACTGTCTCCTACCCGCACAAAACAACTGCCCTTGTATTTGATAGTAATAGTTATGGGTTTTTTTTAGGGTTAACTTCCCATCAGTTATGGTCAGATATGGAACCGTTTGTTCAGAAATTAAATAATTTCGTGCTGAGTACGGGCACTTTACCTCTACCAGAGTTTCATCGTCAATGACTCTATCTGGTGAGGCAGCCAGCATAGGGTGTGTCTCACTAACAAAAAGTCCACAACTCTTAGTTTTAGTGTTTGTCAATGTCTCAAAACTCTCCACTGCCACACTTTCATATTGTCTCCCATACATAGTTTGTTTAGTTTTTAGATTTACTGGGTGTAATAGACCCCTCAGTAGCATATCAATGTCTCTCTTTATAGTGGCCTTGCATATATTTCCAAAATTAGAAGATGTAATTCGTTTTCGTCTTTCTGCTGTCCACCTGTCACATGCACTTTGGTATTTGGTTTGCTGCTCAATTTCATAGATTTCAGCCTTTGAAATACAGGATACCTGAAATTACAGTAAATACAAGAAATTATTATCCGATTGACATTTAAACTTAAGATGCATTATTTAAGATATCAACTTAAAATTGGCATCGAGAGTTGATTATGGTCTTGTCATGTTAATAAATGTCTAATTAATAATTTATATATCATTTAAGGCCCCAAAAAGACCTGCAATAGGCAGATTTAGATATTACATAATGACTGTTTATAGAGGAACACTACAATAATAATCTAATCACTGTTACAGAGTCAAACCATTTGTGATCTTGAATAAAGTACAAGACTGTAATTATCTTATAACAAATAACTGTTTTAAACTAAAATAATACCTTTTCAGTCTTGAGAAAGTGATCCTCCATTGTCAGCTCCATGTAGTCATGGTCAGCTGCTAAGGCTCTTATGTTGGCTGATTCATACATTTGTAGCACAGGCCACTTTGATTTTCCCTGAAACAGAAAAGGTTGTCATAGTACAGGATGATGGAGTTAATATTTCATTTTCATAATGACATAAATCACTCAAAAATCTTAAGATTAATCAAATATGAATTGAATTAGCTCACCTGCCAGTTAAGTACCACGTTTCTCAAGTTTTGTTCATTTTTTGAAGAATTCTTCCTATGCACTGGTCTTGGATCATAAATAGCAGGCTTCACATTTCCTCTGATTCCACTCAGGTTCCTTGTTTTCAATGGACTACCTTTCATGGGCTTACTTTTGTGAAATTTTTGTAAAACCTGAAATGAATGCAAATATCATTAATGAATTTCCTATAATGTTTATTCCAAGTTTGAATGTATCCTAAATATAATGGAATGTCACAAAAAATGTGTTTAACTTGTAATGTCAGCTTATCTAGACTCCCTAGGAGCTTTCATAATTATCTCAGTCAGTTAGTGGGGCTTACCTAGGGTGATGTTGCAGACCAGCGTTTCCTTATGGGAGAGTGGGGTTGGATGGCTGAATGGTTAGCGTGCGCGCGCTGTATCATAAAGTCTGTCATTGAGTCAACTGGCGTGGTTTCGAATCCCCGGTTGTACGTGGCAAGGAGTAGGGTTGCCTGTCCAACCTCGTGGGTTTTCTCCGGGTCCTCCGGTTTCCTCCCATTGCTAAAGACCCCTACGCGCAAGCGAATTATGTAAATAAAATTAAACCAAATAAAACACTTCCCACATGCTTACAATGAGCCAATGGTCCTTGTCCTACTGCACATTCACACTGAGTTTGCTGGATCACTGCATTCCTATCTATACTTATGTCCACTTTGTAGCTTGTTGATCTTTTCATTTCTGCCCAAACGTTGGAAGTTATATATGTTACATCATTTATGACTACACGCACATATCTTAGATACCTAAAATAAATACAAATGTATTGTAAAAATAAAGGATAAGTTTGTGTACAAAGAAGAAACTGAAAAGATGTCACAGACTGATCAGCAGTAATTATTCGCTTGGCGGCTACCATCACTGAGAGGGATGACATTGGGGCAAGTTAATTAGCTCTCAATATTAATTTTTTTTTCTTCTGCAAATTAAATTCCAAAACAATTTTTTAAAATTATTAATGGTACTTTGATAAAAAAAAATATAAAAGAGATGGATTTCTGAATAAAAAATATTTCCTATTTAGTGTAAATGAGTACATTCATAACATAGTTAAATCTTACACAAACTTTGCAAAGGTGTAAAATGAAATGAGTTACAAAGTCACTAACTCTGCCTGATGTGATAGTACATAATTGTGCTGTCAACACCTTAAATAAGATGTGACACCTGTTTAAAAGTTACCTCTGTGCATAAAGAAGTTCAATTTTTTCATTCAACTTTTGGTCACTTAGTTGTAAGAAATCCACTACTCTCTGTTTGGTCACATTAGGGAAGTTCTGTAAGTGATCAGCATGGAGATCTGTATACTCGCTGTTTCCAGGCAGACACATGTGGAATTCTGGTGCAGGTTCATTTTTTGAGGAATTTCTGTCATCAAATATCAATCTAGAATTTAAATTAATGAAAGACTAAAATTAGACAGGATTTAGTGTTATTATTAACAATAATACTAAAATAGTATAGCCTCGACGACTAGCAATACCGAATAAGGTTTTACCTGTTCTGGACGAAAAGAAATAAAATTTAGCCTAGATCTATTTATTATTGAAATTATAATATAGGCCCTATATCAATATGTATTATTTTATATTGTCTTCGTATCCACCAGGTTTCATTACAATAAATTTATAACTAACAACAGTCTTTAATTGTGTAAATTATAATCGGAATGGAAAACAATAACAATCAACGAATTACGTAAACAAACACTTGATGGCAGAAACTTGATGGCCATTTACTCATTATAAACGTTGCAATGCCGACACTGTAGTTTTTGATAAAGAAAAGTTTCAAAACATCATACATTTTCTCATTGACAATGCCATGTTTGAGGTTAGGGATCAAGTAATACAGCAAACTATTGGTTTATCAATAGAAACTGACCCTGCCTCATTTATGGTAAATGCACATTTATATAAATATGAATTCTGCTTTCAGGATCATAAACGAAAAACTGATTACCAAATAGCAAAAAGTCTAAACTATACCTTCCGATACATTGATAACATAAAACCCATTAATGTTAATGGAACTTTCAACAACTATAAAAGTGAAATATATCCACCAGAACTAATATTAAATAAAGAAAATTCTGGCACCATAAATGCATCTGTTCTTGACCTAGATATTAATATAATTTACAATAAATTTAATGTCCGTATTTTTGACAAAACGGACAAATTTGGTTTTGAAGTAGTAAAATACCCGTCAATTTATAGTATCATAGCAATTTGCACGCTATATAGTGTTTCCTATTCACAGGCATTACGATTTTTATACGCCCACATTTTCATGTGGACGTATATTGTCGTCGCCCCTGTCCGTCCGTCCACAATTGTTTGTGAACAGTCTACAGGTCACAATTTTTATCCGATTTCAATGAAACTTGAAATATAGGTTTATCACCCAAAGATCTCGGTTCCTTTCGATATTGGCATGCATCGGACTGTAACTTCATGGATTATGGCCCCTGATTGTACGAAAAATCACGTTTTTAGCTTGTGAACACTGTAGAGGTCACAATTTTTATCCGATTTGGTTTAAACTTGAAATGTATTCTTATAACCCAATGATCTCGGTTCCTTTCGATATTCGCGCATATCGGATTGTAACTTCCTGAATTATGGCCCCTGATTGGACGAAAAATCGCGTTTTTAGCTTGTGGACCCTATAGAGGTCATAATTTTTATCCGATTTAAAAAACCGTATTATTATATCACCGTTACACCCTAAGGACGGTTGAGTTCAAATTTCGTGAAAATCGGCCCAAAATTGACAGACAAAATGGCCGCCGTTCAGTCTCAAATAGCGTAAAAAATATGGTATATCAAGGTTGTGGACCCTATAGAGGTCGCAATTTTTATCCGATTTTGTTGAAACTTGAAATGTAAGTTTATAACCCAAAGATCTCGGTTCCTTTCGATATTCGCGCACATCGGACCATAACTTCCTGAATTATGGCCCCTGATTTTACGAAAAATCACGTTTTTAGCTTGTGGACCCTACAGAGGTCAAAATGTTTATCCGATTTAAAAAAACGTATTATTGTATCACCCTTACACCCTAAGGATGGCTGAGTTTGAATTTTGTAAAAATCGGCCCAAAACTGACAGACAAAATGGCCGCCGTTCGTTCTCAAATAGCGTAAAAATATGGTATATCAAGGTTGTGGACCCTATAGAGGTCACAATTTTTATCCGATTTTGTTGAAACTTGAAATGTAAATTTATAACCAAAAGATCTCCGTTCCTTTCGATATTTTTGCATATCAAATTGTAATTTCCTGAATTATGGCCCTTGATTGTAGGATTGAAATCGGATAAAAATTGTGACCTGTAGACTGTCCACAATTTTTATCCGATATAGGTTTATCTCCCTTAGATCTCGGTTCCTTTCGATATTGGCATGTATCGGACCGTAACTTGTACGAAAAATCGCGTTTTTAGCTTGTGAACAGAGGTCACAATTTTTATCCAATTTGGTTTAAACTTGAAATGTATGTTTATAACCCACTGATCGCAGTTCCTTTCGATATTCGCACATATCGGACCATAACTTCCTGAATTATGGCCCCTGATTGTATGAAAAATCGCGTTTTTAGCTTGTGGACCCCATAGAGTTTTGTGAACTCGGGGCCTGGTATATCAAGGTTGTGGACTCTCTAGAGGTCACAATTTCTATCTGATTTTAAAAAAACATGTGAATATATCACCGTTACACCCTAAGGATGGTTGAGCTTGAATTTCGTAAAAATTGGACCGAAACTGATATTGCGTATCAGGGTTGTGGACCCTCTGGATGAAACTTGAAATGCGTGTTTATAACCCACAGATCTCGGTTCCTTTCGATATTCACGCATATCGAACCATAACTTCCTGAACTATGGCTCCTGATTGTACGAAAAATCGCGTCTTAGCTTGTTTTTTATCCGATTTAAAAAAACGTTTGAATATATCACCGTTACTCCCTGAGGATGGTTGAGTTTGAATGTCGTAAAAATCGGACCGAAACTGACAGACAAATTGGCCGCCCCTCGTTCGCAAAAAGTGTCAAAATATTGTGTATCAGGGTTGTGGACCCTTTGGAGGTCACAATTGTCATCTGATTTTGATGAAATTTGAAATGCATGTTTATAACCCAAATATCTTGGTTCCTTTCTATTTTAGTGCATATCGAATCGTAACTTCCCGAATTACGGCCCCAGATTTTACCATAATTTTGTCTGGGGTTGAGTTTCATGAAAATCAGACCAAAATTGCCAGACAAAATGGCCACCCCTCATACGCAAATAGTGTAAACATCTGGGATATCAAAGTTGTTGACCCTCTAGAGGCCACAATTTTGATTGATTTTGATGAAACTTGAAATGCAAGTTTATAACCCAAAGATCTCGGTTCCTGTCAATATTCGCGCATATCAGAACGTAACTTCCTGAATTATGGCCTCTGGTTGTACGAAAAATCGTATTTTTAGCTTGTGGTCCCTCTACAGGTAACAATTTTTATTCGATTTAAAAAAACGTTTGTTGACTTCGAAATTCAAGAAAATCGAGCCAAAACTGCTGGACAGAATGGCCGCCCCTCGTATGCAAATAGTGTAAACATTTAGTAAATCAAGGTTGTGGACCCTCTAGAGGTCACAATTTTGATCGGATTTCTATGAAACTTGAAATACATGATTATAACCCAAAGATATTGATTCCAGTCGATATTCGCGCATATCAGATCGTAACTTCCTGACTTATGGCCCTTGATTGAACAAAAAATCTTGTTTTTAGCTTGTGGTCCCTGTAGAGGTCACAATTTTTATCTGATTTAAAAAAACGTGTGAATATATCACCATTACACACTAAGATCTTGGTTCCTTTTGATAATCGCGGATACCAGAACTTAACTTTCCTTTTGATATTTGCACATTTCAGGCCATAACTTTCTGGATTTTTGCCCGTGATTGTACAAAAAATCACGTTTGTTTTTAGCTTGTTCTCTATCCATCTGTTGCAAAATGTGGGCGTATCTTGCCTGGCAGCTGCTGGTTTATACATTTCATGGATGTGGTTACTTGTATAGTTAGTTTTTATACGCTCACATTTTCATGTGGACGTATTATGCCGTCGCCCCTGTCCATCCGTCCGTCCACAATTGTTTGTGGACTCTCTACAGGTCACAATTCTTAGCCGATTTTGACGAAACTTGAAATATAGGTTTATCCCCAAAAGATCTCGGCTGCTTTCGATATTGGCATGTATCGGATCGAAACTTCATGGATTATGGCCCCTGATTGTACGAAAAATCACGTTTTTAGCTTGTGGACACTATAGAGGTCACAATTTTTATCTGATTTTTCTAAAACTTGAAATGTAAGTTTATAACCCAAAGATCTCGGTTCCTTTCGATATTCGCGCATATTGGACTGTAACTTCCTGAATTATGGCCAATGATTGTACGAAAAATCGTGTGTTTAGCTTGTGGACCCTATAGCGGTCATAATTTTTATCCGATTTAAAAAAACGTATTATTATATCACCGTTACACCCTAAGGAAGGTTGAGTTCGAATTTCGTGAAAATCGGCCCAAAATTGACAAACAAAATAGCCGCCGTTCGTTCTCAAATAGCATAAAAATATGGTATATCAAGGTTGTGGACCCTATAGAGATCACAATTTTTATCCGATTTTTTTGAAACTTGAAATGTAAGTTTATAACCCAAAGATCTCGGTTCCTTTCGATCTTCAAGCATATCGGACCGTAACTTCCTGAATTATGGCCCCTGCTTGTACGAAAAATCGCGTTTTTAGCTTGTGGACCCTATAGAGGTCATAATTTTTATCCGATTTAAAAAACCGTATGATTATATCACCGTTACACCCTAAGGAAGATTGAGTTCGAATTTCGTGAAAATCGGCCCAAAATTGACAGACAAAATGGCCGCCCTTCGTTCTCAAATAGCTTAAAAATAAGGTATATCAAGGCTGTGACCCTATAGAGGTCACAATTTTTATCCGATTTTGTTGAAACTTGAAATGTAAGTTTATAACACAAAGATCTCAGTTCCTTTCGATATTCGCGCACATCGGACCATAACTTCCTGAATTATGGCCCCTGATTTTACGAAAAATCACGTTTTTAGCTTGTGGACCCTACAATTTCCTGAATTATGGCCCTTGATAGTAGGAAAAATCACTTTCTTGTTAGCTTGTTCTCTATCCATCTCTCGAAAATGTGGGCGTATCCTGCCTGGCAGCTGCTGGTTACTTCAATATGTTTACATTCATATTTCTGTGTGTTGTATCTTGTCAGTATATTTGTTTTTGTGTAAATTATGTGTGGTGCAGTCCCCCTGCACTTACTATTAGCTTATGTTCCCTATAGAGGTAACAATTTTTATCCGATTTAATAAACCGTTTTAGTATATCACCCTTATGATGTTTGAGTTTGAAATTCGTGAAAATCGGGCCAAAACTGCTCGCCCCTCATACACAAATAGTGTAAACATCTCGCCCCGAGTTCACAAAGCATTCTCAGACTTAAGTTAAGAATTTACCCACAATTGTTCTTCTTATTTGAACTAAAATATAGCTGTTTATATAACACTTGTTGTTTTAATGTATCAAATACATCAATAAGATACTATGTACAAGTTTTGTTTTTCTGGATCAAAGATATTTCTCATAAACAGTGGTTGAAAGTGGAGTAAATTCTTAACGAAAGTCTAAGAATGTTTTGTGAACTCGGGGGCCTGGTATATCAAGGTTGTGGACTATCTAGAGGTCACAATTTTTATCTGATTTCGATGAAACTTGAAATACATGTTTATAACCCAAAGATATTGGTCCCTTTCAATATTCGCGCATATCGGATCGTAACTTCCTGAATTATGGCCCTTTATTGAACAAAAAATCACGTTTTTAGCTTGTTGTCCCTGTAGAGGTCACAATTTTTATCTGATTTAAAAAAAACGTGTGAATATATCAGCATTACACACTACGATCTTGGTTCCTTTTGATAATCACAGATACCCGAACTTAACCCCCTGGATTATGGCCCTTGATTGTTAAAAAAATCGCATTTTTAGCTTGCAGATTCTCTAGAGATCACAACAATTTTTTTCCGATTTTAAAAAACGTTTTAAATACATCACCACTCCACCATAATGAAGGTTGAATTCGTATTTCGGGAAAATCGAAATGAAACTGCCCGACAAAATGGCCGCTCTTTGTACGCAAATTGTGTAGAAGTGTGTAATACGATGGTTGTGGACCCTCTAGAGGTCACAATTTTTATCCGATTTTGATGAAACTTAAAACATATCTTTATATCCCAAAGATCTCTGTCCCTTTTGATATTTGCACATTTCAGGCCATAACTTTTTGGATTATTGCCCCTGATTATACAAAAAATCACGTTTGTTTCTCTATCCATTTCTTGCAAAATGTGGGCGTATCCTGCCTGGCAGCCGCTGGTGTAAAAGTATATATACGAAGGTCTTGGATCCTCCAGAGGTCACAACTTTTATCCTATTTTGATGAAACTTAAAACATCTTTATATCCCAAAGATCTCAGTCCCTTTTGATACTTGCGCATTTCAGACTGTAACTTTCTGGATTATTGCCCTTGATTGTACAAAAAATAGTGTTTGTTTTGAGTTTGTTCTCTATCCATCACTTGCAAAATGTGGGCGTATCCTGCCTGGCAGCTGCTCAGTGCCTGAGCAATATTGGACATTACATTTAACACATTTATCATGTGAAAACATATTAGTGGTGGACTTTAATGTAAATCTTTTGGTCAAATTATATTTTGGAAATATTGCAAAGATTTCTTTTTTTCCTTTCTAACACTTTTTATTCATTCGATATTTATAGAATTTTTTTTTCCCTTTCTAACACTTTTTATTCATTCAATATTTATATAATATAAACATACAACTTTTAATTATGGGATCTAAAAAGGAAGATACATTTCTCTTGGTTTAAATGTTATTTTTCTGTTACTGGGTGACACAAAATCTATTTTTGAGGGATTTTAAGACAGAAAGATAACTTATAATTTATTTTATAGATTGATGGAGATAATTATGTATTAGATGATGTGAGAATTAGTTTAGGTTTAGAAGCTTTAAAACTAGATCAGATGGAAACTAACATGAAGGCTGGTGTCAGATTATTGAAAGAAAAAGAAACTAAATTACGACAATTTGATGCTAAACATAGAGATGTGAGTTCCCTTGTTATATGCCCACATTTTCATGTGGACGTATATTGTCGTTGCCCCTGTCCGTCCACAATTGCTTGTGGACACTCTACAGGTCACAATTCTTATCCGATTTTGACGAAACTTGAAATATAGGTTTATCTCCAAAAGATCTCGGCTGCTTTCTATATTGGCATGTATCAGATCGAAACTTCATGGATTATGGCCCCTGTTTGTACGAAAAATCACGTTTTTAGCTTGTGGACACTATAGAGGTCACAATTTTTATCCGATTTTGTTGAAACTTGAAATAAAAGTTGATAACACAAAGATCTCGGTTCCTTTCGATATTCGCGCATATCGGACCGTAACTTTCTGAATAATGGCCCCTGATTGTACGAAAAATCATGTTTTTAGCTTGTGGACCCTATAGAGGTCATAGTTTTTATCCGATTTAAAAAAACGTATTATTATATCACCGTTACACCCTAAGGATGGCTGAGTTCGAATTTCGTGAAAAATCGGCCCAAAATTGACAGACAAAATCGCCTCCGTTCGTTCTCAAATAGCATAAAAATATGGTATATCAAGGTTGTGGACCCTATAGAGGTCACAATTTTTATCCGATTTTGTTGAAACTTGAAATGTAAGTTTATAACCCAAAGATCTCGGTTCCTTTCGATATTCGCACATATTGGACCGTTACTTCCTGAATTATGTCCCCTGATTGTACGAAAAATCGCGTTTTTAGCTTGTGGACCCTATAGAGGTGATAATTTTTATCCGATTCAAAAAAACGTATTATTATATCACCGTTACACCCTAAGGACGAATGAGTTCGAATTTCATGGAAATCGGCCCAAAATTGACAGACAAAATCGCCTCCGTTCGTTCTCAAATAGCGTAAAAATATGGTATATCAAGGTTGTGGACCCTATAGAGGTCACAATTTTTATCCGATTTTGTTGAAACTTGAAATGTAAGTTTATAACACAAAGATCTCAGTTCCTTTCGATATTCGCGCATATCGAATTGTAATTTCCTGAATTATGGCCCTTGATTGTAGGAAAAATCACTTTATTGTTAGCTTGTTCTCTATCCATCTCTTGAAAATGTGGGCGTATCCTGCCTGGCAGCCGCTGGTTTATTCATGGTAGGGTATTGTGAATTCACGTGTCTATACCACTTTGTCAGCATGGGGTACACAAAAAAATATATATTGGACTTAAAAATGAAATATTAGTAAGGCATATGATAATTATTTATTAATTAAATATTCCGTTTTGGCTAATTAAAGGAGCGAAATCGCTAACATTTGGGACCTATAAATTGACAAAAGTGGGTCGCAACGCATATAATACTGTAATATGAATGTATATAAAGTGATTTACATTGAATGGTTTACGTTTTTACTCCAATTTCAAATCAGTTATGTTCGGCGAAATAAGCCAGGAGTCTCAATCGAGTGCAAATTTCTAGCGTCTGGTTATTCCAGTCTACGTACGCCGTTTGATTTGGTGCAATCTGTCTAGCCTTGTCCCTCGAGTCTCTTGTTACAACTGGGGCTGAAATGCATTATGGTACACGATTCGTGTACCAATGGTAAAATGTTTATTTTGTCTTACATATTGGATATAAAAAGCCCATCTTTTTCCGGTAAGATCACAACATCAATGTTGATTTAATTTGACAAATAAATCGTGTTTTCAATGTTGAAGATTTTGGATGATATTGAGTTAGAGACTTAGCTACTTTAAATAACGAAATAGCTGAATTGGCCGTAGAAAAACCATTTCAGTGACTCACACGTAATTACCACATGCTCTATAGAAAACACACTGACCTGGATAATTTTGAGTTGTAATACAATAACTTTTTGAAATGAAGATATATATATAATTATCCATGGCATATATCTAACATTTATTGGATTTAGACCATCTCTTATGGGATTACGGGCCGCAGATTTGTTACATAAATCCTAATAATGTATAACTATGACGAACGGATAACTAACTTCACAGCTAGCGATACTAGCGCCTCCTAGAATATCGTCGTGTATAAGAGTAACCATATATACACAACATTTCTGCTACACGTGGAATTATCAATACTGCTGCACAATAGAACTGAAATACGTAATTTTCTTAATTTTTCGGTAAGCATGTTAACTAATCTTTAGATTTTATTTCTACAATTCCCACAAGGCCGTAATACTGCTATAAAAAATTATAAATGCATTTTTCTCCAAACATGTACGTTGTTAAGGATTTACGTAATTTCTATGCTATTTTTATTTTTATTTGATATGACAGTTGTTTAGATTCGAAGAGCAGTACTTCATATCAATTGCCCTTTTTCGAAGATCATAATAACCTTGTTTACACCGTGCATGACCGTAATAGCAGTAAACGGCTTTGTTGTAGAAAATTCTTATGGCACGTGGACAATACGTGAATGATTAACAATGGACTGCTTCACCCCATTGATTAGATTCCCACGTATCAATTAACTTTTATTGTTCTACTAATAGACACTCATCATTAATTATCAACACAACACTCAGTATAATCTGTTGACGACTGTATACAACTTAATAACACCAATCACCAGATTATGTGGCTTCTATACGTGTGGATTATTCTGTACTGGCCGTATAATTGTATAGTTACACAGTGGAGGCCGATCATAGCCATGTTTGGAAATTGGGTTTTGAAAAAATAGGACCTCTTTCCGGCATGCAAAATAACCATTGGGTCAGCTCTAGTTACGGTCATTTTCCATAGCCCTAGGGCCTGACGGGCATATACAGCCGACGTGGAAACCATGCTCTAGAGGTCACAATGTTAATCCGATTTTGATAAAACTTGAAATGCATGTTTATAACCCAAAGATCTTGGTTACTTTCGATATTTGCATATATCAGATCATAACTTCCTGAATTATGGCCCCTGATTGTACAAAAAATCACGTGTTTAGCTTGTGGTCCCTCTAGAGGTCACTTGAGTTCAAATTTTGTGAAAATCGGACCACGTAAATAGTGTAAACATCTGGTATATCAAGGTTGTTTACCCTCTAGAGGTCACAATTTTGCTCCAATTTTGATGAAGCTTGAAATGCATGTTTATAACCCAAAGATCTTGGTTACTTTCGATATTCGCGCATATCCGATCGTAACTTCCTGAATTATGGCCCCTGATTGTACGTAAAATCATATTTTTAGCTTGTGGATTCTCTAGAGGTCACAATTTTTTTATCCGATTTTAAAAAACGTTTAAATATATCACCACTCCACCATAATGAAGGTTGAAAATCAGGAAAATCGAAATAAAACTGCACGACAAATTGTGTAAAAGTATGTAATAAGAAGGTTGTGGACCCTCTAGAGGTCACAATTTTTATTCGATTTTGATGAAACTTAAAATATATCTTTATATCCCAAAGATCTCTGTCCCTTTTGATATTTGCGCATTTCAGACCATAACTTTCCGGATTATGGCCCCTGATTGTATCCTTAGTATCTAAATGATCAGTAAACCAAGTATATATAGTAATTCTTTTTTTAAAATTGGTCAATTTGACCATTTTTTGTGCTTTTTTTTTTTTTTTTTTAGAAATGAAATGATTTTTAACACATCCTACTTTTCTGCATCAGCCAGGCTAATGAAGATTCGTATATACTGTGCAGTGAACTAAATGGGGAAATTAGCCTGGACAGCAGTGTTTTGGTCTTCTCTTCATTAAATTCCAACTGTCAAGGGTTCATTTACGTGCATGCCAATGAATGCATGGGTTGACTGCCATTTTTACTCCCATTTGTACAACTAGATGCTTTTCCACTGTCCTGCACCATTGAGAAAGAAGGGAATCCAGGCTGTAAAATTTATTGGCCAACTCTAGAATAGGACCAGTACCACCATGTAATATGTAATATTGTGTTTTAACATAATAAAAATTATTATTTTTCAGGTGATTACTGAAAGTGAAAACCAATTTCATTCTTTTGAAAGAAAATGGCAGCCATTAAGATTACCTACATTAGATATAAGTGATGATGATGCTAGTAGTGGTGTTAGTAGTACAGATTTTAGTCTCGATAATTTTATACGAGGTAGGTTTTATTTACATTGATTGTTATGATTTTTGAAACTAGTGTCAATTTTCTCTTTTTTAATTCTAATGTATTGGTTTTGTGTCAGATAAACGTAATTTACTTCATTGATGATAAAATTTCAGGCTCATCATTGTTGGAAATATTGATATTTGCAATACAATGTAATTGAAAAGTACTTAATCATTACATGGTTTATGTATATAATTTTAATTACATAAACCTTTTGGAATCTTCCATTACTCATGACATGACCATTATTTCAAAACATGTAATGATTACATTCCATTAAAATAATGACCAAGAGCACTGTGCTTGAAAAATTAACAATATGTTGTCTTTTAGATAATTATGAAACTTCAATCCATACATTTCATGTTTTAAACATTCAATTTATCTGCAATATGTCATACAATGACACAGTTATACAGTATTTGTCCAATTAATACCCACTTCTAAAAATGAAATTAAAGTAACAATATTGTTATTAATTTATAAAAACAAACATACTATTTTATGGCCATTTACAATTTTTTTGAAAATCACAAACATTTGAAAACTTTATGTACTTGAATTAGTTGGAAACTAAAATATAGTTTCTTACAGTAAGTGACGTTCTTGGGAGATAAATAAGTATCAGAGTATGATTGAAGACTGATTGTTAACAAATTATTCCAACCTATATAGACTTATTGTCATTTTAAAAAATTTTACAATTATATTGTTGAAAAACCATGTTTCAAGCAGCACAACATTCTTTGGTAACTGATGTGGTAAGCCTACAATGCACAAGCTGTTTCTCTTTTTTAGGTCTATCTATACCTGAATATGTCCCGGGATTTACCAAAATGGTACCATCAACAAGTATACCACCTGTTAGTGAAAATGGCACAGATACAAGTTATTTAGCTCATACTCTCTTTAAAATAAACAATGATTTATCACAAGTATTATCTGCCCTACATAAGCAAGGGGCAGCACAAATACCATCTTCACCTAATACACCATCTTCCACAGGTGAGACTCACAACTAGTTTCTAATCCCAGCTAGGACCATAAAGAACCATGATGATTTTGCAAACCTTGTTCCCTGTTTGTCTGTATTGATGTTAAGAGAAATCTTTAGGACATTAAAAGTGTACCATGTCATTACCAAGCTCCTGTGTATGTACGGGTAGTGCCGATGACATTAGTGAATTTGAAGAAGAATTTAGTTATATTTAGTTAAAATGTCTTTTTACTAAAACAAAATTCAATACAAGGGGACAGATGTTCTATTTCTGATGTTGACAAGTGATTACACAGTTCGTAATTTAATATTAAATCTTTCTCTTTGATTATTTCAGCTCCCCGTTTGCCATATGAAATTCCACATCCTCCACCACATGCAAGTCCAGCTATAATGAGACCACCATCCATTTATGACACAACTAATCCTTATACCATGTAAGTTTTATAAATAACATCTCAGCTTTATAGTCTATTAAAGACTGTCTTTCATTTGATTATTCTAAAATATTTTATTTATTAATTTCCTCCGAAGGATTCTATACTAAAAAATGGTTTGATGACAAAATATTAAAACACTAAATCACACTTCAATTGGATTTGCCTGAACGGATATGTTTTCTATCTAAATTGTATCAAGTTTACGTACATAATTACAGTTCACAAAAGACAAATGCACATGTTGAATGTAGTGGTTCTGTAAACGTTTGGAAAAAAAATAAAATTTTAACTTGAATGTAATGTAATGTAAAAATGATGTGCAGTAAAATTGCTATATGATTAAATTTGTTTATTATAAATATTAATAGGAGAAGTCCTTATCATAAAGTAGATTATGGTACTACTATGGTGTTAACGGCTGAACAGTCTTTAGAAAGAAAATGGAGAAAATACTTTGGTGGTAAGTAAATTGGTTTGGCAAGAGAATGACTGTGACATGCATATGATACCTGTCAAATATTATATGAAATAAATTAGTAGATCAAGTAAGTAAAGCAATTGGAATTAGTTACACATTATTTACATAATATGCATATAGATAATATTTACCTTATAGGTGAAGTAAGTTCTGTGTATTACCTGTTTAAACACATTTATAATTGTTTAGAATTTGTTTGCAAGATGTACCGCTAAGGCTCTATTGAATATTAATTTAATAATCAATGTAATTTAAGTTTAATCTTGGTATTAATATTAAAGTTGGTCTACACTACATGTACTTCTTTAACTTTCTCTCTTCTCTCTAAGTCTAATTTTTGCCACCGAATGAGTATAGACCAGATGAATGTTCAGATCTTGTCAGTTACATACAAACCTCTTAAAGTTTAGAGATGCATTATGTAAGAGCTAAATCTGCCTATTGCACGTTTTTATTTTGGTTTCAAATGTTATTTAAATTATTATTTAGACATTATTTACATGACAAGCCTATAATCAAGTCTCTAGAAGCATTGAAATATGATCGCCATTTAATGATTTAATTTAAAAATGGAGAAGCGAGGCTGAGTCTCGATTAACAAGTCATGTTGCTATGATAATAAACAATGTGTCAAAACTTTTCAATATATTAATTTTGAATTATCTAGTTTGTAACTAATATAGCAAGAACATACAGCGCTTCATTAAATCTTACATAACGCATCATTAAAGAAGCAGTATTGTTACTAATTTATGAAAACCAACCGTTGCACAGAGTTAAAACATGCTATATTATGGTCATATGCAAGCTTATTGAATCTTACAAAACTCTAGTACAAAACCATCCTCGGTATCCCCAGTCGTCTCATTCCGTTCCATTCCACTATACCCTGTATATTCACGTATTCAAATTATCTGTCCTTGATCGTAGCTTGATTCTACAAACCAATCAAAAAACAATTTACAAACCAGTCTTTGCCTCATTGTTTACGTTCACAACAAAATGGCAGCTTGTACGCTCAACTATGAGAAAGTTTGCAAGAAATTTAAAATAAAAGAAGTGACATGCACACAAAAAATTGTCATAAAACATCTTTTTGTTGGGAAAGATGTTCGTATGTCAAGTCAAAATAGGCAGTGGCAAACTGTTCTGTTATTAAGCGTATTGGTCGATAAAAATAGCACAGTCATCAAGGGCAGATAATTTGAATACATTTCTCCCAATGAGACCACTGTCGATACCGAGGATGGTACAACATTGAAAACTCTTAACTCTTAACTGACCCACGGCGACTTTTGTCGACGCCTATAACGTTACCGTTAAGTACCCACGGCGACTTTTGTCGACATAACCAGTTAGCCGAATGCAACGTTTCTAGCGTAATGAGAGTTACGTCCCTTAGGAACAGACAACTTTTTTGCGTTTGTTTATTTCCTGTTTGACATTTTAACAGTGAAAAATCTTACTATTTCTTTTTGAAAAACTATAATAAAAAAGTGATATGTCCATCCTTATTGAATGACAGTGATTCAGATTTTATCGGTAGTGTAGAATTTTATAGTTTTGCGTTGGAACGTGATAGGCTAGTAGGCCTACTGACTGATAGAAGCAAGTAATCAATAAATTACTTAAATATAAATAAGCTTACATTAAAGATACATTATGGGAGATTTTAATAGAGAGTTGGCCATTCTTGCTTTAACCGTTCAAAAATAGATGAAGAAAGAAGAATATATTGAAAATTTCAGTCAAATTACTTTATTCGGAACAAAGTTATCACCATTGTAATTTTTGACTAGAAATAGGAGTCAACTCTCTCTTCACCGTATCCGAGAATGGCCGATCGTTTGATTGACAGGCATTAACTCCACCTACATAATCTCGATTATCAAGTAACGTTTTCAAGGCTGTGGTACTGTTAGCCCAATCGGTTTGAGACAGGGTTGCAATTCAGTTCGTATCACATTTATTTTTACTACAAATTAAAAATAAGACTTTTAATATATAGATAAGAAGCGGAAGTTTGAAAGGAATGGACCAAATCAATGAGGCATAATTATAGCCGACTTCTTGTTAGCCTGCGTGTACTCTTGTAGTATTGTAGTAGGCCTACGTAACTCCCGAAGCAGACAAATAGGAAACAGTGATCCAATGGGGCTGCAATTCAACTGGGGTGATGTTATCTGCGATGTTTATCAATTTCAATCATTTTTCTGTAAAAGCAAGTGACAAAAGAGCGTATAATACCGACATCCAAACTCCCATTTTAACCCCAACTAAACATAATATCAAAGCCATATATATCGAACTGACTGACATTTGGCCTCGCTCAACAGCGGCCTCGCTTCGTACACTCTATCAGTTAGCCTTGATCTAAAATTTCCGGGAGTAAGACGTCAACGTAACGGTTAATCTCCGCATACGACGTCATTTAAAAATTTAATCAATCAATGAAATCCTGTTTAAATCCAAGCCGAATCCAAGCCATCCGTGGGTCTACAGAGTTGATTTTGTGCTTGCTGTGTAAATAAAGATCTAATTTATAATTTCTATGACATCTGAAGCCTAAATAAAGACTTGCAATAATCAGATTTAGCACTTGCAAAATGTATATTTAAAAGAGATTCATGATCAATGATTATTAGTTCACAACAGCCGAACAAATAAAAGAAAAGAAAATAAAACTATTATATACATGAATTTTGCATGAAATGTCTAAATTAATTTTTGTTTTGAAATTCATATTTATGAAAAAAACATTAAATTTAGATTATTTCATCCATTTACATGTAGGGTCTATCTACAGTTGTTTTTTAATAATATGATTTTAAAATGTATGTGTATATTTTAACACTATTGACGATTATGACGTGGGTTTTTTTTGACGTTATGACGTCAAACCTCTGGGTCATTTAAGAGTTAATTCTTAAATTGGTAGGCTACCAAAATAAGCTTAGTTAACATTGGTACTATGGAAGCCTGTTACAGCCATTTTATAATCTCGACTTCTCATGGCAAGGAGTCAGGAGCAGGAAGTTGAAAAGGCAAAGATTTTCAAATGAAAGAATGCAAGAAGTCAAGAAGCTTAGTTTGAAAAAGCGAGAAGTTAAGATAGGAAAAAGGCGATAACAGGTTTCCATAGGTTACAGTGAGCAACATTACAGAAAGATAATCAATGGAGATTATAAAAGAAGAATGCAAATACCAGAGCTTACACTATTATTAGAATTTCTAAATTAATACGCAGATTAAAATCTGATTTGTCAGTTTCGTCCCGATGGTCTAAAACGCGATTAGGTATTCCATGCACAGAGCCTCAAAATACTTTCCTCTATAATTTTTATACGCCCACATTGAAATGTGGACGTATATTGCCGTCGCCCCCGTCCGACCGTCATCCACAATTTCTTGTGAACGCCAAAAGTTAACATCCAATTGTTTTAAAATTGATATATGTTGTTAACATTAGTGAGATGAAGAAGCCCATTTAATTTCAATAATTTCCGTTTATTACGTCTTGAGTTATGGCCCTTGTTTCACTTTGTTGAACCTTGTGAACACTCTAATGCCAAAAGTTAACTGCCGATCTGTATGAAATTTATATGTGCCATTTAAGTTAGTAAAAAGAACAATCCTATTGAATTTCAGCAATTTCCGTTTATTACGTCTAGAATTATGGCTCTTTTCACTGTTTTTAACCTTGTGAACGCTCCAATGCTAGAAGTTATCATCAGATCTTTGTGAAATTTATATGCATTATTTAAATTAGTGAAACCACGAAGCCTATTGAATTTCAGCAATTTACAATAATTCCTTCTAGAGTTATGGCCCTTGTTTCACTTTGTTAAACCTTGTTAATGCTCGATTGATGAAAGTTATCATCCGATTTGTATGAAATTTATATGCATCATTTAAATTTGTGAAACAAAGGTCTATTGAATTTCAGCAATTTCCGTCAATAATTTCTAGAGTTATGGCGATTGTGAACGTTGTGAACGTTTGAATGACAAAAGTGATCATGTGATCATCTGTATGAAATTTATATGCATTATTTAAATTAGTAAACTGAAAAAGCCTGTCAAATTTCAACAATTTCTGTAGATTACTTCCAGAGTTGAGACCCTTGTTTCAGTTTGTAGAACCTTGTAAACCCTCAAACGACAAGATTTATAATCTGATCGGTATGGAACTGTCTTGTAAAGGCCCCCAATTACCTACAAAGGAATAAATATGCGACAACCCTTGTCGACCGCTCGGACGATTTAGCTGCTGTGGGCATATGTTTTGTTGCCTGGCAACCTATATCGACTCAAATCGGCCTATTTGACGTGACGCTATACGAGACACTTTCCAGGAAAATTTAGAACATTTTTCAAAGATGGCTACAAAACGGAAGTTGTCCACTCGCACCAAAACGAAAGTTATCTACTCACACATACGAACAAAAGTTTGAAATGTGCCTTTGAATCAATTAGTATCCGGCTCTTGCAGTTTATTTCTAATCGAGCTAAGATTAGATTTCGGTCTTTGGTTAACTCGGATCTTTGCTTAACTCAGATAAAATTGGTCAGTCCACTTAGATCCGACTTATGCGAAGTTTACTGTAGATGTCTTTGTCTCATGACCTTAAACACTGTGTATAAATTTAAAATTCATCGGATATTGACTTTAGGCACTAGAGCATTTACAAGATATTTCAAAGTGATCAAAGGCCAAAACTCTGGCAGTAATTAGCGGAAATTGTTGAAAATCAATAGGATTCTTTGTTTCATAACCTTAAACATTGTGTATAAACTTAAAGTCAATCGGTTATTAACTTTAGCCTCTAGAATGTCCACAAGCAAATACCGACGGACAGGGACAACGACAATATATGACCACATTTAAATGTGTGCGTATAAGAAGGATATGAGAAGAGGAACAGCAATACTCCCTAGAAAGAGTAAATAAAGCTGGACAGGCTAAAAAAAAGATGAAACAAAAGTAAAGTCTAATTTGATTTGATTGTTGTATGAATGATATTTGTATTCATCTTTATAGATCGTAAACCTGTTATTACATCTTCCACTACTAATGTTGGTTATGGTCATACACCTGTCAGGTAATATAAATCTGTTAGTTTATAAACATATAATCTGTTTTTGATGCATCATGGTAGAATATTCTTTGATCAGAATCCCAGATTTGAGCTAAGAAGAATTTTATAGTTTTTTCAAAACCTATTCTTACTTTCAGAATGTGTTTGTAGTAAGGTACTCATGGTTGCAAAGATAAATGTCTAATTGTTCACACAAAAGGAGAAAAATACCAGAATTTCTAAATTTTATTTTTTCAGAGAACAGTTGCGTAATCATCGAGTAAATTTAATGGAATCTCAAAAATTGAACAGTACGTCCACTGAAGATAGATTACTAGAACATAAGCAATGGTTACAACGCTTTCAACAAGATATCAACATGAGTAACTCATTCTTAAATAAAGTTTTCGCCTCTAATGATGGCTCTGTGTATCCTTTTGTTACAACTTACACTTAGTGTAAACGGGCACTGTAGAAAATAGATTAATGATATGTATGTAGTAGATTATTATGTCAATATTGAGATGTAGACAGGTGTAGAAATTAGAATAACTGTATGCAAGAGCTACAATGCACTAACACTTAGTTCACTATTTATTTTGTGAAATGACCTAATTCTATAGAAAATTAAAACCATTATCATTCTACGGCTGTTTTGGAATAATAAAAGTTTATAACTGTAAAACATGATTGTTGAATTTTTGAGAGTTAATTTGTAAATTTTTTAAATCACAGTTGTTTTGTAGATTTTGAGAATTACTGTAATAATTATGTATATTTTAAATATTGCACATTCCAATAGCTCTTCTCCTGTATTGATTGTAGTGTAGTGCCAATCTGTATATTTTGAACTATTCTTCCTCTTTGGGATGTTTTGTGTTTATTGTTTGTGTGTACGGCAGTGATGGGATTTTGCCCGTATATTCCGGACATATACGACGCTATTTTCCAAAAGTCCTAAATTGTCCGACCAGGAATATGCTCAATCGGACATCAAGACATGGTAAATAATATTCAAAATTCCAAAATTAATATAGTGTATAACTACCACTCAACCCGATTATCGTTGATAATAGACTGGATTGATTAGGTAATTAAGTGATCAACGTATTTATCGTTTTATACCGTCTATACACCTACCTTGATTAACTACTTAATCTGCCTTGATTTGCTTCTTCTTTGTCGGACTATATATCAATCCAATAAACTTAACCTACGTGATTAACCCGTGATTTCTCTATTGTCTCACGTTTTAATCTCCTTGATGTCGGCCGTAAACATTAGTCTTATATGTCACATATCCTAATAGTATATAACACCCCAAATCAATATACATGGTGTCCGATAACTTGTCTGTGATATTTCTTCAGTGGAATTAAGAGGTGTAAACGTGCCGGATCTAATATGTCTGATGTCAGGAGAAAAGATTCCATTTTGATGGCATATTTTCGGATTTATGATCATATTTAAATAAATAATTAAACACGCTAAGAAATGTTGACGAATATTTCGATTGGAATAATGTAAGTAGTTACGGTTATTGTTTTCGGGGGGGTTGGGATGGCCTAGTGGTCTAGAGTGCCGCGCTTCGACCTCTGGCTGGCCGGTCACCTCTGGCTTGCGGCTGTGGTTTCGAGCCCTGGTGTGAGCGTATGTGGCATGGAGATAGGGGCGCCTTCTCAACCTCGTGGGTTTCCTCCGGGCACTCCGGTTTCCTCCCACTGCTAAAGACCTCTACGCGCAAGCGAATTATTGAAATAAAATTAAACCAAATGTTAGTCCCGAAATGACCTAGTTGTGTCGAGTGGACGTTAAACCCCATTTCTCTCTCTCTCTCTCTTATTGTTTTCGATGATAGCGCGTGCTTAGAGTCGAATGGGATTATTTAGCAGTTGGTGCCACTCGCTCGTTGTATTAGAGTGACGTTTACTACATTTTACGGCGAAATAAATTTCGGGATGTCATTTTTTTACCTTCCGTATATAAATCGAAACGGAGTATAAGACGAATGCCGGACTTTGCTGAAAAATGTATCGACTTATGACCCGAAAAATACTGTAATTTGAAACCGGTACGGATGGGCAGTAGTCTGCACGCTTTCATTCTATGGTATTACGATGTCATGTAATTTTGTAGGAATATTATTGACATAAATTTGAATACCGTATTAATTTAATTATTATATGGCCATTAAATGGCCGACTGTTTAAATCCAAGCTGTATCCAAGCCATCCGCGGGTCTACAGAGTTGATTTTAAGCTTGTCATGTACATAATGGTCTAATTAATAATTTCTATAACATCTGAAGCCCAAAGAAAGACTTGCAATAGGCACATTTAGCTCATAACTAATGTATCTTTATATACAATGAACACAATTCAGAAACAAGAAATAAGTTTGAACTTTCAATCCAGAGTTATGCGCCTTTCCTAAAAACCTTGTGAATGTGATAAAGGCTATCTTGCAACCATACATAATTGTATGCTGTTAATTGAAACATAATATTGGAAACTAGTAATAGCTAATTGAGAAAACTAATGCTTGCTAATATTTAGATGTAGTTTGGCTATTCAATATAATTTAACTTTAAAAGAAGTTATTTATTGTGCTTAAACCTTAACTATTGTTAGTAACAGTATAGGTAATGTATCTGTAGAACCAATATCATCTACACCAACTAAAGTAAGAACAGCACCACAACTTGTTCTAGATGATTATAATCAAATACATGTTCAACAACATTAGTAAATATATTAGTAGCTGTTTTCCATGAGTATGTGTTACACTTTATAACATAAGCAATATTTATGTTCTACAAACAGCAGATTCATTAATAATGTTATAGGGTCAGGGTGCCCATGGAAAAAGAAAGGCTGTTAAGTATGAAAACCAAATGCCAAAATGTTAAGCTTGTCTGAAAGTTTCAACCCAAAATATAGAGCTGTTTGGATATGTTCAAATCAGGTTACATAACTCTTTTCAAGAACTAGGCTTACCTCCCGGTTTCCATTGAATGACTTGATAAATATGACTAGGTATTTCTCAGTAGTAAACTGGAAAACATCAAAGAAAGTACAAATGAACCGTGTCACTGTTCACTATGGCTCTTGTTTCATTTATATTTGCCAGTCTGATTTTTGACTGGCGGGAGAAATTACCTGTAAGTCAATTTACATGAAATAAAATGAAGATTTTTTTTTCATTGAAAGCCCTACTGTGATAGACAGATTTATCCAGGCAAAAGGTGGTTTGTAGTCAAGACAAGAAGCTCATCTCCACCTCTCTTTGACAAATGAAATTTGGTATTTCTTTGAAAATGTATCACAGAGCTAGAACAAAGGATACACTGAAGTAACCAGTTTTATTCACTGAAATATATATGGGATTTATCCTTTAAACAATTTGAGGCAAAAAAGTATTTATTAGTATCACACATTGATATATACTCTTCACAAAAAGAAGGGGATATTCAGAAACAATACTAAACTGCTGAAATGCACTGCTGTTTTTATTAGAGGTAACCAGTGTATGTTAATAACAGGCCAATTGCATACACATGAACATAAACAGTTCATATGGGCAGCTTATCTGACAGCCCCATTTCACTTGCAAAGAGATAAACTGTCAAAAGTGAAAATGGACGTTTTTGATTTTTAACTTAATAATGAGTAATTGCTCCACCAATCCTCAGACATTCAGCAATTAGTCGTGGCATGCTCCTAATCACGATTTGGGGCAATCTGACCCACTCCTCTTGCAGTGCCATGGCCAATTCTTGCAGTGTTGTCGGTTGACAATATGGACAATATGGTGACGCTGGAGGTAGTCATTCACGACACAAGCGCGGTGGGCACGGGCATTATCATCTTTAAAGATGAAACGTCGACCTGCACATTGAGCAGAGGGCAGAACTATCAGTGCCAGGATGTGGTCATGGTAGTACACACCAGTGACCCTTCTTTGAACAATATGCAAGTCCATTCTTGACCTCAAAAACATAGATATAGACATCAAAATCATTAAAATCGGTGCACTTACAGACATTTTATTGACAAGAACGTGTTTTATGGCGGCCATTTTGAATTTCTCAATTTTTGGCGGGAACGGCTGGAGTGACGTCGTGGTTCCCGCCATTTTTGAAATTAGCATACCCTAAAACCCCCATTGGTCAAATTTTCATGCTTCTTTCCGGAAGTGCACAACTCGACCAAAAAATGTTACATATCCGCCCCACTATATGTTCATGTGTATGCAATTGGCCTGTTATTAACATACACTGGTTACCTCTAACAAAAACAGCAGTGCATTTCCGCAGTTTTGTATTGTTTCTGAATATCCCCTACTTTTTTTGAAAAGTATATGTATAAGACCCCTCAGAAAAGAACTGTTTAAAAGGGTTAAGTTACATGTATAAAGCCAAAGTTTAGTTTCTTATGGATTAATAAGAGGTGTCATTATACCTTATGATCATTCAATCGAAAGTCATGACACTGTGTACTTAAAGATGGGTTCCCGCGTACAAATTGAGTGGTTTAATGGTATATATGGACTAAAAACATATTCAAACTAATTAATTTGTCATAACTTTGCTCCAAATCCTTCTCAAACATTGTAATTGCGAAGGAATGTCCTGCTATAAAAATTTCATCCAACCAGGTCATGTTTACGTCACGTGAATTACCTCTCTTGGAAGTTAGAGGAGAATTCATTGCATACATAAGACGATGTTGTCTTTAATCGCTTACTATTTATTACAAATATCGAATGCTAATTAAATTCTCGGATTATCCATTACCGGCGTCTTTTCCCGTCATTTTTATCTCAGAAAGTGTTGTACGTCTAACTCTTCATAAAATTTATCAACTTGTACATCAAGCACTCAATGTTCGCATGTGACCTTTGACATCATGAGTGCAGAAATTCTTAATCGTCGGGCTGTTGATTAGGGGAACCCTTACATTTTTGTCCTGTATACGCTCCATGAGTGTTTTTCGGGGAATCCAGTATTTTTCTAGTAAGACTGGATATCTCTACTTTCCATATTTACCATACTTTTATTGGAAATAACCACCCGATAAATACTTTTCTGGGAACCCATCTTTAAGCTTTATTTATTCATATTATTACTAGCTTTTTTGTACAAACTAGGTATTTGTATCATAAATGATTTTATATTTATTATACAGTAAAATGATGCAGCATAATTATGATCTGGTGCTGGAATATACAGCTCTTCCAAATGTAATTTAAGATTTTATTATTGTATATAGAAAGCTTTATGCAGTTCTAGATTTCACCATATGCTAATAATTCTATCATTAAGGAACTGTATTTCATTAATGTATTCTTTTTTCACACTACTTGCACACTCACCCAGATAGAAAAAATGAAAATCACAAAACTTGAAACTGCTAAATTTCTTTTAAAGTAAATAAAAACTATAAAACTGTGACCCTCATAGGTCAGTACTGCTCTCTGGGTGGCAGCCCAGTTGGCCTAATGGTAGCACTGGCGCTGCATACAGGTACAGGGGCGGATCCAGAGGGGGGTTTTGGGGGGTCGACCCCCCCCCCCCCCCCCTGCTCAGCTACATAATTTTTTTTGTAAATCAACACTTTTTATGAGAAAGGTTTCTCGGCCGTGTGCTTTATCCTTTATCGTAAGATTTGGGACAGGATGGGCACTCAAAGCACAAGATAATGATATAGACATAATGTGATATCACAATTAATGCTTTGCATCCATGAAATTGAATCACAATGTCATTGTATTAATTCACAATAAAGATTGACATCAAACGAGGTGTTGAATTTCTCTGTTTAAAAAGCTCAATGTGGATGTATATACGCCAAAATGACGGCAGAGACCATGCTGGGGGGGGGGGAGATACATTGTCTCGGGAACATGACCCCCCCCCCCCCCCCCATCTGCAAAAATTCCTGGATCCGCCCCTGAGGTACATAAAATAACCTGACTATTGTTTTCTTAATAGGTATCAATGAAGAGAACAATATGCCTAAATATTCACGTATGTTTGTATATAGATTGAATTAGTCTGTGATAACTTAAATATATGTTTGTTAATGGTAATCAAAATATATGGATGTGTTTATAGCTCACATATACTTTTTAACTGTACATATAATTATTTGTTAATAGTGTAAATAGAAGTACAAATTACTGACATAAATTAACAATTATACAAGCTGTTAATTTTGCCTCTCATGCTAAGTTTGGCAGTTAAAGATGCATTATGTAAGATCTAGATAAAGAGCTAGCCAACAACTGTACTTGACAATCGAGACTGAGTCTAAATTATCCATTTTTAAATTAAATTAATCATTGTTTCAATCCATTTATATCTTGGCCATCTAATGATCTAGAGAGTTGATTATAGATAAGACGTGTCATGTGAATAAAATGTTTATATAAGATTTGAAGCCAAAATATAGACATAAAGATTTTGCCACATGCCTTACCATAATAAATTAGTTTATTACTTTTAGAGAAAATTGTATATGTAAAAATGATTTACGGTAATATGCAATCATCTCTCTTTGTTAGTTTATAAAGATAAGGTAGATTTTAAAAAATATACCCTTTCAATTTGGAGAGTGAGATAGTCCCAAGGCTTCGGTCAGTATCTGCCCATAGATCTACGATAATAAAACAATTCGTCCATTTTTATACGTCCGTCCGTCCGTCCACAATTGTTTGTGGACACTCTACAGGTCACAAGTCTTATCCGATTTTGACGAAACTTTAAATATAGGTCTCCAAAAGATCTCGGTTGCTTTCGATATTGGCATGTATCGGACCGAAATTTCATGGATTATGGCCCCTGATTGTACGAAAAATTATGTTTTTAGCTTGTGGACCCTATAGAGGTGACAATTTTTATCCGATTTTGTTGAAACTTGAAATATAAGTTTATAACCCAAAGATCTTGGTTCCTTTCGATATTCGCATAGTGAGCCGGGTTTCCATATATGTTAATAAGTCACGTGATATCCTACATTTGCATATGCAAGTTGATGTTGTGCGAAAGCTGCTATGTAGAAAGCGTGAAGGACAAATGGGATGTGGCAGAGCGCAAATGTAAAATGTAATGAGAGAAATGTGAAATGTAGACAGTCAAAAAAAGCATTTTCCCACAAAACATGTCATTTAACACTTAACATTTGACGTTTTACATTTAACTCTTGCGATGGGGGTATTTTGACTTTATCATTATCGGTATTAGGACTTTGTACATTGTACTTTTTACATATAATCAATTGAAACGACATTGTCGTAAAGCATTTAATATTGGCAGCGATAACCTTCCATAATATCGGTCTATTTCATTCCATGTTGGCGTTGTTAACTTACTGTGAAAATGTGGGGTCCTGATATCAAATATTTAAAGTAGCTAAGTCTCTAACTCAGTATCATCCAAAACCTTCAACATTGAAAACACGATTTATTTGTCAAATTAAATCAACATTCATGTTGTGATCTTACCGGAAAAAGATGGGCTTTTGATATCCAATATTTAAGACAAAATAAACATTTTACCATTGGTACACGAATCGTGTACCATAATGCGCTTCAGTCCCAGTTGTATCAAGAGGGGCGAGGCTAGACACATTGCACCAAATCAAACGGCGTATGTAGACTGGAATAACCAGACGCTAGAAATTTGCACTCGCTTGAGACTGCTGGCTTATTTCACCGAACATAACTGATTTGAAATTGGAGTAAAAACGGAAACCATTGAATGTAAATCAGTTTATATACATTCATACTACAGTATTATATGTGTTGCGACCTACTCTTGTCAATTTCTAGGTCCCAAATGTTAGCGATTTAGCTCCTTTAACTCATTCTTAAATTTGAATTCATCTTCTATATTCGCACAGTGTTTAACAGGAAGAGATGAAATGTCACTTTAGTGTCTTTAGTATGTGTGGTGTTTGAGAAAGAAATTGTTAAAATGAAATATTGGAATTATACATGTATGAATTTGGTATGGTGAATATTCTACTCAACAAGACAACCCATGTGATTTACATCATAATCAGCCATTTATAG